ATTTCGGCATCAGTGCCAGGGCTTAAGCCAACTTGCTATGAAAAAGATAAATGTCATGCGACCAACGGTCAAACTTCTGTATTCTTTATTGCACTCTACTTAGTAGCACTGGGAACTGGAGGGATCAAGCCATGTGTCTCATCGTATGGAGCAGACCAGTTCGATGATGCTGATCCTATTGAGAGAAACCACAAGAATTCCTTCTTTAATTGGTTCTACTTCTCCATCAATGTTGGGGCTCTTGTTGCTTCGTCATTGATAGTCTGGATACAACAAGACATTGGCTGGGGATGGGGGTTCGGTGTTCCAGCTGTGGCCATGGCACTTGCTGTTGTATCTTTCTTTTCAGGAACCCGGCTATATCGATACCAAAAGCCTGGAGGCAGCCCTTTGACGCGTATATGCCAAGTTGTTGTGGCTTCTTTTAGAAAATACCGCGTTGCATTGCCTGCTGATAAATCTCTGCTACATGAGACTGCAGCAGAAGCTGAATCTGCCATCCAAGGGAGTCGCAAACTTGCTCATACAAATGAGTTGTGGTATGTTTGTGAATTATGAAGTCTTCAAAAGCTCATACATAAAAATTAACTTACTATGACATCCAAAGGGCTCATGATCTAATTCGTGGATACCTTATACGATCATCCTCGATGCTATATGGGTGTAATATCTAGTTTGAAACTGATTAAACTTTCTTGATACTTATCGCATTAAGTTTTATATATGAGATGTTTAACTTGGATGTTTGTTTTGCTCTGCAGTTTTTTCGACAAAGCTGCTGTGAAGCTAGAGTCAGATGAGAATAGTGGTTCAATAAACAATTGGAGGCTTTGCACAGTAACACAAGTTGAAGAACTCAAGTCTGTTATCAAGTTGCTACCTATTTGGGCTACTGGAATTATCTTCAGCACAGTGTATAACCAAATGAGTAATATGTTTGTGCTGCAAGCTACATACATGGATACACATTTAGGAAAATTTAGAATTCCTGAGGCTTCACTTTCTGTTTTTGACACCGTCGCTGTGATTCTCTGGGTTCCTATCTATGATAGAATGCTTATCCCATTTGTTCGAAAGTTCACAGGTCACAAAAATGGCTTGACTCAACTTCAACGGATGGGGACTGGGCTCGTCATATCAGTCTTTGCAATGGTATCTGCAGCAATTGTAGAGGTAGTTAGGCTGGGCATAGTAAGAAGGCACAATTACTATAACACCACCAATGTGCCAATGTCAGTATTTTGGCAAATTCCCCAATATATGATAGTTGGTTGTGCTGAAGTTTTCACATTTATCGGTCAGTTGGAGTTTTTCTATGATCAAGCACCTGATTCAATGAGGAGCTTGTGCGCTGCCCTCTCTCTCACGACCACTGCACTTGGAAGTTATGTGAGCTCATTCTTAGTAACCGTTGTCACAGATATTAGCACAAGAAATGGAAAGCCAGGATGGATAGCGGACAATCAAAATCGCGGCAAGCTGCATTACTTCTTCTTGTTGTTAGCCATTTTAAGTGTCTTAAACTTCTTTGCTTTTCTTGCGGTTGCAAAGAGGTACAAGTATAAAAAGGCTATCAACAAGGACTCTGCTGCAATGGTGCCTGCTGATGATAAGTAAGCTAGTTTCATGATTTCTGGTGTTTTAGCTTCCCTTCTGCATTTCTAAAATTTGAACATTTCAGACGTACAAGTTTGTGGCATAGACGTACAGATCTGTATCATTTATAGATCAAACATGTTCTTATAGTTTATCTCATGAATACATTGATTTTTTTATTGCATGTGGCAATAGTACCTTAATGGATAATACCACTCCCTCCGTTTCAAAAAGATTGACAATATTTCTTGATTAGTCCGTTTCAAGAAGATTGACACTGTTTCCTGTTTAGTCCGTTTCTAAAAGAATCACACCTCTCAATATTTCCTTAATATGAAGCATATTTATAGCCACACAAATTCTATGGCAGATTTAGGACTACAAGTTTCAAAAGTTTTACGGTCACAGAAATGTTATGGCTTATTTAAAACCACATATTTCAAAAGTCTTTCATTCCTTATTAAAATTTGTGCTAAGTCAAACTAGGACAATCTTTTTGAAACAGAGGGAGTACTAGACAAGCCTTATGTAATCTAACTTTTACAAAGTTTTATCGCAATGAAATGTTCTTATAGATTCTTCTATTCATTTTCTTCTTCACGATTTTAAAATCTGTATTTCTATGTTTTCCTTCATGAGTGCTGAGCTTTTCCAAAACAAACTTTTCTTTTTCCTCCACAAGCTACATGAGAAGTTCAGAAAGCCTTTCACTAAGAAGTTTTCTGAAAACCAGCAAAGAACATGTAATTGTTAACCCAGATAATTTGAAATGGTATATGAGCTTTCCTGTTTAATTTATTGCCATTTGTAGCATGACGATTGGAAATAATCCTGCACGTTTCCAGCGCATTCTGATTAATGCTTCTTAGAACATTACGCACATTCTGATGAGTGACCTCGCCATTCGAGAAGAAGAAGAAGAAGAAAAGGACACCTAGAAAGCACACAAAGAAGACGGGAAGGCCTCTTTCCCGAACGACTTAAGTTAATTCCTGGGGTTCAAAAGCAGTACACTTTTTCCCCCCTCAATAATAGTCACAAAAATATGCATAAGATCTGGTATACTGCGGAAGGCAAAACCCCGAGTATGTCGTCTTTACATGATAATGAATTTTTGCAACTCGAAAAATATAAGTATCAAAAATAACTTAAGAAGATTCAAGCATAGGCAATATACACATTCAAAGAGATTCAACACACACTCAGTGAAAGATTTCTAATTTACTTTTCTATATTCATTATTTTATAATGTACTTTGCCTATCTTTTTAAAGAGCATATTGACTTGAGCGCAACACATATGTTCCTCACTCCATGCTTTGCTCTTCTTTCTGTTCGATCAAATGTTTTGATGAACTCATGCCTAGGGGTGGCAAAATGGTTAAAAGAAAACAGTTAACCACTTATATTATTCACTAAAAAATGGGTTGGATAATGAACTTTTTAAAAATATGTCAAATATGAACAAGAACCATATTATCCATTTAGAAAATGGATAATCAATGGGTCTAATTTTTATTGTAAAGCCTCAAATTGGGGGTTACTCAAGTTAGAGAGACTAAAAATTCTCCCAAAAGTGATCATATGTAAGAAGTAATGGATAAAATAGTTATCTATATTATCCGCCGGTTAACTCGTTTTTTATCCGTATTAAATATGGGTCGGGTAATTTATCTTTTTTTCATTACCCGTTTTCGACCCGAACCATATCCGACCCGACCCGCCCGTTTCCCATTCCTACTCATGCCCTACAAGATATGATTACCAGTAGCCCTCAGACATGCCAAAGGCTCGAAAAAGATGCAGTCGTCAAGCCAAACCATCTTCTACTTCTAAAAAAAAATGTGGCAAATCCTCATACTCAGTGCTTGAGTCACACATTGGTTGAGAAAATGAGATAGTGAATTTTAACCTCATGAGCTAGCTTGAACGTATATAACGACTAACGACTCAACCGATTGTTTTGAGTTTTAACATCTTGTTCCCTAGTTTGAAACAAATTGATTAAGAATTAATATTATTACGTATTATTTTGTTTCACTTATGAGAATTTACACTTACGTATGACACACATGGATGCTTTATTCTCACCTGATCAGTACTTCGCTCGAATATACTTGATCAGCAGATCAATTAAAAAACCAATTATATTCGATTAATCGAGGATATATTTTTTAATCACTTTATTTAACCTAGGACATGCATCATTTTTGAGTTTAAGTGACTAGATGCTCTCGTATACTGGGTGCCTTAGTAAATCTTGAGGCCTAATGTGTTATCGATTGAGTCTCCATATTTGTACATGCATCCAACATATGCTAAAACACATTTAAAAATAGATTATAAAGTGTATTATTTTGTTTCACTTATGAGAATTTATACTTATATATGACGTGTGTGGATGTTTTATTCTCACCTGATCAGTACTTCGCTCGAATATTTGATCAGTAGATCATTTGAAAAAACAGATATATTCGATTAATATTTCTTTGATCACTTTAATTAAGCTAGACGTATCATTTTTTAAGTTTATTTGACTAGACGCTCCGACTACAAAAAAACTGTCAATTTGCGGCAGTTTTATTGAGGAGGTTAATAGTAACTCCGCAAATTGGATGCCATTACGACGGTCAGTCTAACCCCCTCAATTTAAAATGCAATTTGCGACAGAACTTTAAAAACGTACTAGCACTAATAGCATGTTTGGCCAAGCTTCTCAAGACAAAAAAGTGTTTTTTTTCCTAATTTGAGGTGTTTGGCCAAGCTTATTTGGGAAAAAAGTGCTTTTGGGAAGAAGCAGAAGCAGTTTCAGAGAAGCACCAAAAAGTAGTTTCTTTCCAAAAGCAGAAGCAGTTTTGGGTTTTCTTCTTACCTAAAATACCCTTAACAAAATATAGTATATACCAAAATAACCCTTAAACCTAATACTTAGGATATTAATTTATAAATATTTCTTCTTATTTTTAGGGAAACTTTCTAATATATAGTGACTTTAGGGGTGAATGCTTTTATATTTGTTGAAGGAATTTTAATATATTTAACTTATATTAAAAGAATTAAGTACTTTTTAATTTTATTTTCATATTTTACTTAAATATTTTTTTTAATTATTGCATGTAATAACAAAATTTTGATATTATTTATTTACTTATAATATTAATTATTAAGTAAATCTATTCATGCCCTTATTCATAATTTGACACTTAAAAGCACTTTCTAAAAAGCTTGGTCAAACACAAATTATTTCTCGAAAGTGCTTTTCAGACTGATTAGCCAAACACAAACTGATTCTCTCTAAAAATACCTTTTTCAAAAATATTTCTCAAAATAAGCTGATTTCTCCGGCTCGGCCAAAAAGGCTATAAGGCAGCATCTTTTCATTTTCCCCGATCCAAACCCTTTGCCCCTTTTTTCCTTCCGGCCAAACCCTTTTCTAAAAACGCATTGCTCGTCCAGAAGTTTCCTCTCCGTTTTCTCTCTAAAGGTGTGCGGTTTTTTTTTCAAGTCTGTGATTTCTAAGAGATAGGGTTCTTGGGAAGACAGCACAAATCGGCGGAAGGGTCTAATTATGGAGAAAATAACTGAAAATATCACCAGAATGACCATTCTTCATCATCTGCTTCCGATTCTAGGGTTGAGAAGAAAACAAATTCATCGCAGCCGTCATTCAAGTTTAGGAATAGTTGGCTTTTCGAGAGCAGCTTGTTCAAAAGGTCTTCGGTGGCGGTAAATGGTGAGTTTACTCTTTCATTTGCGCGTACCTTGTTTCTCTACATTCTGTGTAATTTGTTTCATCTCCTTTAGTGATTGAATAATTAGGGTTTCTATATGTCTCTAGATCTTTCCAAGTTTTGATTTTTCTGAGGGCTTCTTGGTGGTCGCTCTTTTTTGATAGTTGTTCATCTTAGGTAAATATGTGATTCTCTGGAGTACTTGTAGTTTTAATTGATGTAGCTTTAATCATAGTTACTCAGATAAAAAGTTCAATATACACCAGCAATGCAATCATATATTTCTGAAATCAAAAGCTTTTAGAAAAAAGGCCAGTTTCCTTTCTAATTATTTCATTGTAGCAACAGAACTTTTGACAAACTTATGGTTGTATGGACTAAAGAAGGGAGATGATGATAAGTGATAATAAGCAAATTTCTCTGTAGCAATATCTAGAATCAAAGAGGAAGCTTTCGTCTTATATTCATACTTTATTCCTGGGTACTAAGTGAATATATTATCTTTGACATTTTCTCTGGAGAAGGATTTGTATCTACTAGTTCTCCTCTGTTTCAGTTTTGTTGCAACCGCGTTGCTCTGTTAATTTTTCTCGTTTAGCATTCCATACTCATTAAACATAAAATAGGCACATGAGAAAGTTGTTTGTGATGCAGCACCAGCAATATCAACAAAGTTTGATTTCATAAGACATATTCTGATCAAAAGGATCCACAGAAATGCAGTCAATATGTTCTTGAGATATATAACAATTTGCGGGTTGCAGAGGTCTGGTGAATTGATATTCATGTATATTTCCTTCAAACTTTCCTTTAAGAGTATTGTACTCTTCTTAACTACTCTTCCCTAACAATCTTTTGGATTCATGTGTCAGGATCTTACATAATCTCCCTTTAGTTGTTCCAGCTGGGAGGATAAACTAAGAAGCCCCTACTGCCTATCAGCATGGAGTTTATATTAGTGTAAAGGACAATATGCTGGTGTAAGGAAATTTTTGTTCTTCCAAAACCCTATGGAGAACTGATTTTCTATTTAGAAATGCTCAATATTATAATCATCTGGTCTTTCTTCTATGATTGTTGCAGAGAAAGGATGAGAAGTATTCATGATAATCTGTCCTCACTTTCACCATGTGCATTCTCTCTATATTTGCATTGTCACTTTAGGAGGAAGTGTAGAATGCATAAAATAAGAAAAAACAAGACTCTTTAGGATGAAGAGAGTGTCAGAAAAAAGTGAATTTTAACAATGTTATTATCTGGTTCTTGCTATGAGTATCTGTCTTGATTATCATTATCAATAAGTTTGTAGTGATTCGAAACACTAGAGTAATGATATTAATAATATTTTGCTTTCTTTTTTCGGAAAGTTTGCTCTTTTTATAATCCTACAGAGTTTAATTTCTTAGAGCGACTTTTTTATTGAAATCTACGGTCATCCTGCTTCTAATTCTGTTTTTTATGTCTCACTGTCTTGCTTTTTACTTGCAGTGACCCATTAGTTGGTGCTACAAATGGTTCTTTCAGATTATGTTCTTTACGAGACAAGTGCCGGGAAACACGTCCGTAGAGCTGTATTTATTATCTGGAGCCTACCTTTGTGGATGAAGTGAGGACTAGGGCTTACAAGCAACTCTGCCATCCTAAACGATATATTTCTCGCAATGAGATGCTGCTAACAATATAGCCATGGGGCATTATATAGGTACCATTCTCATCCTCTCAAATCAAGTTAATCATTTTCTTCAGCAGAATGTTGCACCTTGACTGGGATCTTTAACTAGCACTGAGAGAAAATTTGACCTTGTTTGGTAACTGTGTTGTTGAAACTCCAGCATTCCCTTTTCTTGATTGGTTGTTGCTATTTTTCTTTTGTCTTATTTTAAGTTTCTATTGATTCTTGGTATAGGCAACATCAAAGTTGATAAGAACCTCTGTGGAGCCGGTTCTTGAGCAATATAGACAGACCATTTGTCTTGGCTGCTCTAATTTCAAACCTCATACCGACCTTTATGCTATAAGAGCTATTGTCAAGCTTTATTTGTTTGATTCTAATTTTTGTTAGAAAGCCAATTTAGGTGAACTTATATTTTGACAATATGGATAGAATACATGCTGCCAGACAACTGAGTTTTGTGATGATAGACGAGGAAATAAATATGTAATTAAGCTCTTATTCATGTGAATATCCAATAACTTCAGTACAATATGTAGGAAGAATTTCTAGCTTTTGTCTCGTTTTTATGTAGCTATAATTTTGCTTTTCTTTGTAATTAAATTTGAGCATTTTGGACATGTTTTTCTTTCTTTGATAGGCATAATATTAGAGAAACGCTAGTGGTTTTTAAGTTTCTCATAAAATATTTTTATTTCATTATTTCAGCCATGGTGAATCTACTTGTGGACTAAGAGGATCATCTGGTGGCAGCAGTGTGAATCACCAAGCAAATATATAGTATCTTTCTATACTTATAAATTGTAGAACCACTTTAGAAATTGGTAATGTTTAAGTTACCACGCTGGTTAGTGAAATTGAGTTACCATTGCGTGAGTTAGTATTAAATTAGTTTGATAAGAATTTAATTTCGGATGCTTGTTACTATGGCTATTTGTAATGAAATTTGATTTATGTTATAGGTTATTCAATAAAACTGTTCATCTAATGCTACCGATAAAATTTTACAATAGAAAATGAAATTTCGTCAAGCATAACTATTGTGGCAGTATAAACTGCCACTAATTAATTTTTTAAAAATTTGAGATCATATTTTGGGGGTTATAAGCCCCCACAAATATTTTTTTTTAAAACATTGAGATCATCTTGAGGAGGTTATAAATTGCCACTATTTGTCTTTCAAAGCCGTCAAAAAAAATTCATTTTGTGGGGTCGTCATGGAGCTTTTAAAAAATTGCTATAATATTGAGCGTGGCAATCGTAACAGTGGCATTTTTTAAAACCTACACAATTCATTTTGTGGGGGTCCAATACCACCACAAATTAGTAAAATAACCTCAACAAAATAAGCATTTTCTTGTAGTCCATAGTAAATCTTGAGGCCAAATGTGTGATTGATCAAGTCTTACGTATCCGTATCCAACACGCTAAAACACATCTGAAAATAAAATGTATAGTGCAAAAAGAGGTAGTGCTATATCAAAACTTAAGTTACAACTCTCTCTCTATATATATTATAATTTAGGATATTAATTATATGTAGATTGTAAATTTCAATGACCCATAAAAGGTTTGACCATGTTTGACCCATAAAAAGTATTTTCCTGGTCTTTTGTTACCACGGTTACCGACCGATGGTGGTCGGTATTTTTATTTTGAATTTTTGCTTTAACTTATAAGACTGATATGCCGATTTTTCGACGAACTTCTATCGGTTTAGCTTACAAATCTGTCGGTAGACTATCACTACTAGAAATTCGGCAAAAACGGATCAAGAAAAACTGACCAATTTTGGTCGGTCAAAAAACCGGCCAAAAATAGACCAACTTTGGTCGGTTTTCTTTGGCGCAAAAATACGAGAAACTACTTTTGAGTCCCGCAAAATTTATTTTTCAAGAAACCGACCAACCTTGGTCGGTTTTTGCAATTAAAATAAATAAAAATTAATATTAAAAAAACCGACCAACTTTGATCGGTAAATTCGGCCGGTCATTTTAAAAACCGACCAAGTCGGTTATTTTCGTGCGAAAATACAATTAAAGAGTATATATAAAAAATAAGACAATCTTAAAATAAAATGCACCAATGGTTTAGTGGTAGAATAGTTTCCTGCAACAGTACACACACCGGTTCGATTCCCAGATGGTGAATGTTTTGATTACTTAATTAAAATACCGATCAACTTTGGTCGTTTTTTTTTGCGACCAACCTTGGTCCTTTTACCTTTGCGACCAACCTTGGTCGGTATACTAAAACGACCACCAAAATAGCGACCAAGCGTGTTTGGACGCGTTTTAGTCGGTAATTTGCCAAAACCGACCAACGTTTTTATGGTCGCTAATTACCGGATTTCTAGTAGTGTATGGACTCTTTTTTGCAAATTTTTAGCAGTGGGTGGCGTCGGTGGATTAGGTGTGCAGTTGGGTAGGGAGGTTTTAGAGGAGAGTTTTGGAAAATGTTTTTCCTCCTCTTGGTTGGAAAGCCATTTTCCTTATATCGGAGAAAATGAATTCACAAGAAAAATATTTTCCTAAATATTTAACCAACCAAACATTGAAAATTTGAAAAATATTTTCTCATCCGTACCAACACGCCCTTTGTGTTCCAGTTCTTCTCTAACACTTTTCCAAGCAAGTTGTACTAATCAAAAATTAAAAGAAAGACAAATTAAACCTTCATTAAAGCACTATAAAACTGCAAATTGGCCACTCCCAGAAATTAATGTTTCGAAGTGGTGTTCCATGACTTGTTGTGGCGAGCATGACAGACAGAAAGGATAAAAAGTAATAGAACATTGACTAGCAAGGGTTATCTTCTTAATAGCCTCTATTATATAAGATGAAACACCTCATATATACTCCTACGTTCTTTTTTTCCCATAATCTTTCAAAACCATGCAGCAAAAACAAGTGCTTCAGCTTCATTTCCTATTTGCCTGTTTTTCCTCCTGTGCGCTAATAATCTTGACATTAGCCACCGCTCAAACTACCACTAACACCACCTCTCAACCCAACAATTACAACATAACAAAAGACCGCAATATCACGAAACCAGGATGCCCAAAACAGTGTGGAAATCTTACAGTTCCATACCCATTTGGGATTGGCATAGGATCTGGTTGTGCCATAAACCCGAGTTTCGAGGTCAACTGTAACACTTCAACAGGTTCTCCAACATTCCTCACAACCGGTGTCAAGGTCCACGACATCTCCGACACTGAAATTCGCTTGTTCAATATCTTAGCAGAGAAATGTTACACACCCACAGGACGTCTGACTCGGGATTATCTGCTATCGGCCGATTTAGGAACTGATAATCCTTACAGTTTCTCTACCCTTAACAGGTTTAAGTCTTAAGACGGGTTCAACTGAATCTATAATTTTTTCGTTCGAACTATATATACATATATATGAAAGAAACTGCTTATTCCCGCGCTGTTCTACATTACGCGGACTACTACTATTTAGAGCATCGAAGAGATTTTTCTTTACCACAATTTTTTCAAATATTTGTAAATATTTCGAACCATTAATTAACTATTGTGACTTGTACATGACATTTCATTTAATTTTCTAGATATGTAATCAAAGAACCTGAAAATTTTTTATGTTTGCGTCGACTTCCAAATATTCTTTTGCAACTTTAACTTGAACCTTTTTTTTTGTCAACTTCAACCATACTTTTTCCCAAATGACAAACACCTACAAATAGTTTGACCTTTGTACTTTTTAACTCCCACTATAAATATATTAGAGTAAATTGCATCTAATTGACTTTAAATCCGCTTCAACAGATTCACTGTTGTTGGTTGCGATGCTACTGGTGTAATGGTTGGGGGTGAATTCATGAATGGCTGCCTCAGCTTCTGTCCGAACTCGACTGACGTGGTCGATGGTACATGTATGTCCGCCGGTTGCTGCCAAATACCGATACCAAAGGGCTTGAGACACTTCAATACATCATTGGGAAGCCCGAAAAACCACACACAAGTATGGTCGTTCAATCCATGTAGCCATGCGTTTCTTGGTGAGGCAAGCCGCTTCCAATTCCTGGGCATGCAGGATCTAAAAGATCGTATCAGTTTGGTAGATAGGATTGTGACTAGTGTGCCCCTCGTACTAGATTGGGCCATTGGAAATCTTACTTGTGTTGGATCACAAAAACGTAACGATTATGCTTGCCGAGATAATAGCCAGTGTGTTGATTCTGACACTGGCATAGGTGGTTATCGGTGTATCTGTAACCCGGGATATGAAGGCAATCCTTACATTGGCTGTCAAGGTAGTTAGCCCGTATCTTTGTGATCATCTATGCACTGACAGTGACAGGTCACCTATGAGATAAAAAATTAAGTTTATGCACCGACACAGTAATTTTTTACAAAATTAGGTCATTTAGAAAGTAATTGCATGTTTATTTAATTGGTGTTGATTGGTTAACCTACAATAAATAGTAAGTAACATGTATAATAATTGTGTAAAAATTACTACTATTGTTTGTGTATATAACATAAATCACAAGGTAATTGTACTTAAGTCTCTATATTAAGCATTAATTATTAACATGGTCAAAATGAAAACTAACCTACTATATTGAATAAGTTAAAAGTACATTGATAGTGTAAAATTCTATCCCGGTCATGTTAGTATTAACTCAAATCCATAAAAGATACTTAGACGTGCAGTATCAGCATTAATGTGACTGCTTTTTCTCTTGTTTGGTAGATATTGATGAATGTGCAGATCCAAAAACCAATTTGTGTGAAAAAATTTGCATAAACACGCACGGGAGTTACACTTGTTCTTGTCCGGAAGGACATGCCGGCAATGGAAAGAAGAATGGTAGTGGTTGTATAGCACTAAACTCTGAGTTTCCATGGATCAAGTTTTCTGTTGGTAAGTTTCTTCGAAACTTGAACCCATTTGAACATAGGTCGTTGCATGATTTTCCACCTTTTTTTTTAATTAAGCCGCGTTGAAGTAATATACAGAACAATCAAACTCAAGAACAATATCAAGCCTTAGAGAGCCAACAGTTGAAGAAAAGAATCATAGGATATTTTCCTCAAACTTAGAAAAATATCTAGAAATTGTAATATCCACTGTACCTGAAATTAGATACTCCCTCCGTTGAACCTATTTCCTTTTTGGTCCGTTCCAAAAAGAATGACCCCTTTCTAAATTTGAAACCAATTTAGCTTAAACTTACAATTCTACCCTTAATGAGAAGCTTTTATAACCACACAAATACTTTGGGCCCCTTTTTGACTTGTTTAGGACCACAAATTTCAAAAGTCTTTATTTTTTCTTAAATTCCGTACCCAGTCAAACAGGTTCACATAAATTGGAACGAAGGGAGTACTACATTAGTTACGCTATTTCTTGTCTTTGATTTTCTCAAGCATGAAATTATTGTTACGACAAAGATGTAATTCTTTTAAGAGGTGCTTGAAATTTTGTTATAATAAACGTAGGTGTAGGAGTTGGTTTTATGTCCCTAGTGGTTGCGGCGACTTGGCTCTATTTTAGCGTCAAGAAACGAAAACTCATTAAGCTTAGGGAGAAGTTCTTCCAACAGAATGGTGGTTTGCTCTTGAAACAACGAATCTCCTCTAACGAGGGTGGTGTGGAAGCAACCAAAATTTTTACAGCTGAGGAGTTGAAGAAGGCTACAAACAACTATGCCAGTAATAGAATTCTTGGTCGTGGTGGAAATGGGATTGTATATAAAGGTGTTCTACCTGATAATCGCATAATTGCAATTAAAAAGTCTAAGTTTGTGGACGAGGATCAAGTTGAACAGTTCATCAATGAGGTACTTATTCTAACTCAAGTCAACCACAGAAATGTGGTGAGACTCTTTGGATGTTGTTTGGAAGCTGAAGTTCCTTTACTAGTTTACGAATACGTTTCTCATGGAACTCTTTATGAGCATATCCACAACCAAAATGGAGCACATTGGTTATCTTTGCAAAATCGGTTAAGAATTGCTACAGAGACTGCAAGTTCGCTTGCTTACCTTCATTCATCTGCATCGATGCCTATAATTCATAGAGATGTCAAATCTACCAACATATTATTGGATGATATTTACACAGCAAAAGTTGCAGATTTCGGAGCTTCAAGATTAATCCCTCTTGATCAAACACATATTGATACATTGGTTCAAGGAACACTAGGGTATTTGGATCCTGAATATTTCCGCACAAGTCAATTGACAGAAAAAAGCGACGTTTATAGTTTCGGAGTCGTTTTTGCAGAACTTTTGACAGGGATGAAACCTATTTCAAGGAACAATGACGAGGACAAAAACTTGGCAGAGTATTTTATTCTGTCCATGGAAAAGAATCAATTGTTTCAAATTCTTGATCGCAGAGTGGTAAAGGAAGGAAGTCTTGAGCAACTTCAGAAGATAGCTGAGCTTGTGAAGAGTTGTCTTAGTTTGCATGGAGAAGACAGACCTACGATGATGGAAGTGGCAATGGAACTTGAAAGTTTAAAGAAGTTCGCAAAAAATAACCCTTGGCCTAACGGACATCGAAATGAAGATAATGAAGATGAATTATCAGATCTTTACGCAGTTCCACTTGAATCTAATACAGGTATCAATAAGTTTTCTGGACAATACAGCTCCAACGACAACACAAATAGCAGCATCTTTTCTGGACAGGATAGTTCGAACAATTCCTCATTAAATATACAAAACAAATATTCCACGGCGATCTTAATTATAATACGGAAGGCCAATATGATGATTGATGAAAATTTTATACATTTGTAAGTTCTTAATTTCCTTTCAGTCTTTCTTCCATATTGAATTTTCTGATGTAGTTTATTGTTTTTAATTCGATTTGTATTTTTTTATGTTTTTTGGATTGCCTGAAGAACTACGTTCTCTCCAGTGGTGTACATGGATCGGGTTGGCTCAATTTTTGTCAAAACCATACCAAACCATGTATCGGTTTGGATTGGTTCGATTTTGTCGATTTTCTTCAGGTTTTTTGAGGTGCTTTGTTACACGAATATTATTTCAATCTTACTTTGTTAAAGTTATAGATAAAGTTTTGATAGAATATATGTGTAGTAAAATTGAAAAAACTGACAAACATATAACCTATTAAAATATTCTTACAGTAAATATTTTTGGTAACACATGATATTTATTTTCTTAGTCGTCTAATAATAATTTTTTTGATGCACGCATTCAAAGTTCACCTATTTTATTAATTAAATAAAAAAATAAATATGAAACCTAATGATATGTTCCATTACGTATTAAAATTATCAAAATACTATTTCAAATTCGAAAAAGAAAAAGAATAGATAGAATATAAGAGTCCATCAAACTCTATAGAGAACCAGGTTCTTTATTAGATTTAACAGTATACACACAACAATAACTAAGTGGCAAGAGAAATTTTACGTGGAAAATTCACAGCTTAACGAGATTAAAAATCACGACCTACTCTTGTAGGATTTCAACTTCACTACTGAGAAGCTTTTAGATTACAACCTATGCAATCTAGGAATTAACCTCTTAATCCCTCACTAACTTATAAGATAATACTATATTACAAGCCACTTTGTAATAACTCTATTACAAAGGCTTTACAACATGACTAACTCTAGCCAAGACTCAAACACACTAGTTTAAGGTTTACAAAGAGGTTACTATAGAATACTTCTAAACAAGCTAGATAGGGATTACAATTGAAGAACTATTATAAAGTTACAACTCAACTAAGAACATACAATGACTAGATGTGGGAACTGGTCCGTAGTTGCTTTGTTCTTTATTCTTGAAGCACTTGAAACTTCCTTGTTGGATGGTCACGTGAATGAGCTTCTGAAAAGTTTAAGTGATTGTGTTTTACCTCCCTTGATTGTATATATACATGTGTGACATCACTTATAATGATGTAAGAAAGATAGGTAAAAAGGCTTCCTTGAAAAGTTGACTGTAGCACTATTCCTGCACTGTAGCGTATGCAGGCAGCAACTTTCCAGCTGGAGATTTGACTTCGTACAGTCTCCTCGGGAACTAGTAGGGACCTGTTCCCTCAGCTGTTTCTTCCAATCTGAAGGATTGAATCATAACGCAAGCTGGATCCCAACCTGGAAACTTGTGATCTTAAGGTCTTGTAAATGTGTAACAGGTTCCTTATCTGGTTTTGGATAGTAAGTTTGTTAGATCATCAAAACATAAAGCAAAGTACGTATGACCAAAGTACTTGTAACCTATCAATTTATCCCTTTTTGATGATGAAAAACTCATAATTGAAAAATCCAGAAAGAACCACATAGAACTAGACTGTGAACTAGAAAGACCTTGAGTTTCCTCCTCAATCTCTGCATGTTCCCTCTTAATCATTGCAACCCTTAATCAGTGCAATTATTTCCTCCCATTTTAGCATCATAAAAAGATCAGAAATAGGTAATTAAGCAAGAAAGAAGTCTAGTTTTAAGTTAACTCATGCCACTTATGTGCACACAGTCATAATTAAGAACAGAGCTTAAAAGCACGATATAAATAGCAACAAGGCAAAAGCTTGCATTAACATAGTTTTGGATTTTGGAGTAGGAGCATAGTCAATGTTACTTCCACATCCACAAATTAGAACAATTAACAAAAATACCACAAGTTATCATCATAAGAACTGACACGGAGAGAGGAGCACAAACTGGTTTATAGACTGGACACAGAAGGGAAAAACTTTAAGAAGCACAGGGAGGAGAAGGTTTGGAGGCAGAGGAAATTATTTGGAGGACTAAATCCATTCGAGAATTTGCTGACATTTGCTCATTGAATAGTCTTTCTTTCAGGTCCTCCACTTGTTTCCTGAGCTCAGCGTTATCCTTTGTAAGGCGAGTAACCTTTTCGCTTTGAGAGCGACTGGAACCAGGTGCCTCGTGCAACTAACTTATCTGAGTCTCAAGGATATCATTCCTTTTTTCAATTGCCTAATCTTAGTGGTAGCACTGTTTTGAGCATTTATTAACTGAGAAATGGTAGAAGTGCTTGCAACCCCTCCAAATTTCTCTATGCACTCGCATTCTTCAAGAGTGCCTTTTGAAAAAGTTTGCTACTTGGCACCCACTTTGACTGGCCCGAGAGGAACCTTGAAGTACTCAAAGACCTTGGTAAGAAGGAACTCATACGGCAGCCCATGATTACCATCTTTAAAGTCTGCCACCTTTTTCATATGCTCTATCATGATCCCAGGTAGATTGATGGTAATGAAGTTGTCTAGTGCTTCCATGAGGAATAGGTCTGCACAAGTGGTGATGGATCTTCGCTCAGCTCGAGGCAGCAATACTTTTTTTACTATCTTGAAAAGTAGTTGGTAAACAGGAAGGAGGGCCTTCTTCTGAACCCGTTCCCCCTGTTGAACTGCTCTATCCTTCAAGATTGCATTTCTGAAGTTCTAAGTACAAGCTCCCTGAACACTAGACAGCCCTTCAGTGGGCACTCCAAGAATAGATCTCAGCAGGGCAGAGTCTATTACCATATCAACCCCATTCACCAAGGCACAAATGTGACCATCCTCAACCTTGTACAAGTCGGCATAAAAACTTTAAGCTTCCTCCTTATATACCCTAGAAGCATCACTTGTGAACAAGTATGTCCATTGTTGGAAATCACATATTTCAACTAACTGTCACATACCAGCCTCCTCCAAGACATCAGAGGCAAATGTGCGCTCCCATAGTACCTTTTGACTTCTCAATCTCTCTTTCCCAGCACTTCCCAGATTACCAACTTTGGCCTTCTTTGAGTAACCGAGTTCCACATCAGTATCAACCTTTCTCTTAGCAGTCTTGCGAACACCTTTCTCTTTTTTATCAGACTTCACAGATTTTTCACCTGATTCTTTCTCCACATTCTTAGTAGCAACAACATCAACAGACCTAGTCAGACGTTTAACAGACACAGTAGATCCCCCTTTTGTCTTGAGAAGACCATGATTTTGTGATAACTTCTTAGTCAACGTGCTAGGTTCCTCCGCTTCTTCTTCATCCACATTCACAACATGCACTATCTTCTCATTTACAATTTTGCCATCTTTCACTAATTTTCTTCTCCTTGACTTAGTTTGATTGTTCTTAAGAGCAGACTGAAGAGCCTCCTTCTTTTGCAACCTTGTTGTGGGTCGCTTAGGAGTTGGCTCTTCACCAGCAGATACTCTATGCCTAGGCAGGCAATTGGTAAGTCATTATAATCTTTTTCACTATCTTCCTTTTGATTTTCAGACACATGGCTTGTCTCAGGCATAATCACACTTAGAGGCTCAACATCTGAATGAGTAGAGGGAGCAGGGTCAGTACCAACTTGGAGTTCCTAAGAAGGACCCGGAGTTGGATCCTCTGTAGGCGAATCAGGTCCTCCAGCAGGTTCCCCAGTAGCACCTTCCTTTGCTGAAAATTCAATAGACACAAGCTCATTATCCTCACCAACCGGCTTATATTCTTCCCCCGGAGTATTAAGACCATCCTTACTTCCTCCGACAAAAACCCCTTCACTGGTGATGGACAACATATTTTTAATTGCTTTCTTTTCTTGTAGATTCGTGAGAAGCTAGGAGCAGTAGAAGCAGTACCAGTGGACATGGGTTTAGGAGCAGCCTTTGTTGAGTCGATGATTTTCCCTCAGCCTGGTCTATCTTTAACCCTTCTTGTATATGAGAACTTGAGATTTTTTTGATTTTCTGCATTCTCAGCAACGCTCGCTTCATCCCTCTTTTTTGGAGAGGTAAGAGAAGAGCTCGGAGCAACACTTCTTGTGAGAGTTGCTGCTTGGTAACTCTTTTGAGAACCAGAACTCAAATGCATAGGAGAGGAGACGGAGTGTGGGGGTGACTCTGTTCTATGGTTTTGGTTATCCGTAGTTTGAGGAGGAAAGTCTGGTGTTGGTGTTTCAACTTGTGAGGAGTCGGTGAAACTAGAGATTATTTGATCTTCAGCCATGGTGAGAAGAAGAGAGAAGATTTGGTGAACTGAAGAGAGAAAGGATAGGAAATAGGTTTGGAAGTGTTGATGTGAAGTGTGGTGACAAAGATAGATGTATTTATGATGACAGAGGGATCGGTTAGAAATGATGACAGGTTTTAGGGAGATGCGTCGATTAATAGCTGGTGAACATGTTTGGGTTCAAAAGACACAAAACTAAAAATTGACATACCGATAATGTGGCACTTGTTTTAATTGTTCAGAATTGTGCATGAGAGAACAAAGAAACTACTAACCTGTGTTAGGAGAACCAGGTTCCTTGATTGATCTTTTATCTGTAAGCTTTGCCCTTTTTACCAGTGTATACAGCCTCAATTGCTTATTTGCTCTATAATTATCAAGCGCGTCTACCTGTAACGGTATAAAGACGAGTTAGACTTTGCCAGAAAACACCTTTTAACTAAGTTTACCTGAACCTTTCTTTGATAGCCAATCATTGAGGTAGTAGGTTCTCAATTGGGTTTTATCAACCCCAATGCCAGACGATTTTGCTCGAAGTGTTCTCTGCTCAGGGCTTTGGTAAATATATCTGCAATTTGATCCTCAGTGCTACACAATTTCATGCATATAAGCCCTTTCTCAAAATTGTCTCTGAGGAAGTGATGACGTACATCAATGTGCTTGGTCCTCTTATGTTAAACTGGATTTTTTGACATGTTGAGTGCACTAGTATTATCACATAAGAGAGGCAAATAGTCTGAGAATACTCCAAAATCTTCCAATTGTTGCTTGATCCACAGAAGTTGAGCACAACAAGATGCAGCTGCTACAAATTGAGCTTTTGCAGTTGAAAGTGCCATAGAGTTCGGCTTCCTTGTACCCCATGAGATTAAGTAGGAAACCAGGAAGTGTGCCATTCCAG